TGGTTGGTGGTAAAAGAAAAGGAAGAAATGAGATTCAAGTGTCTGAGCAAGCACAAGTGGGGCCCTGATGCACACTGCAGTCCCAGCTGAAATGGGTATTTAGCCCATTCCTGAATGAGGACCTTTCTGAAAGACATTTTTGGCTTTGCAATTTCATCCTGGTGGCTTCTTTGGTAGCTGAGCTCCTTACAGCATGTTTCCTGCTAGGATGCTGGGGAGCATGTAATTTCTTATTCCAGGAGTGAGTGGAAAATAAAAGATGAAAAGGAAAAGCCTGAGCTCAGAAGGTTGGGTTTTTCTCCATCAAGTTCAGCTGAATTTATTTTACTGTAGAGCCAGTTCATCCACTTTCCTCAGGATGCTGGTCCTGTGGACAGGGGGACGGCCAGAAGACACAACCAGCCCACCTAAGGCCTCAATCACTTCCTCTTTGTTGGTTGTACAGGAGTGTGTGGCAGTGGGTTCTTCTTCTACACATTTGAGCTAGAAAACGAAACTTAGGAAGAAAAATTTGGCCATCTCTAAGTACTTTTGTGTCCCAAAGTGTAAAACCAGGGCTGCTTTTTATGTCTTCCCAAGGGTTTTCATAGAGGTCTCTGCCTTTCCCTGCTTGATCATAGGAAATATTGAAAACATCCTTGGACCCTGATCACTCTCTTGCAGAGGTTCAAGGCCAGAGTCAGAGCTTGTGCCAGCACAGATGGCGTTGTTAGACATGAGAGGGGAATGTAGGAAAAAAAAAGATGAGTAGAAAAGTGCATTTCAAGAGTCGTCAGCCCTCCAACTTTGAAGTGACAGGGCATGTTTGCTGCACTCATTTCCCAAGGTCCCCACAGAATTGGTGAGAGGAAGAAAGCCGTGTTTAGAAAAGCTGCCAGATGACAAGACCTGGGGATGTAGGGCACAGAGCAATCACACGGTGCTGTGCTTGCTCAAAGTGCACCTGCAGGGAGCAGAGCAGGGATGGGAGTGTGTCTTTGTGGCAATGGGGGAGAGCACAGGAAGGGATGGAGAATCTGCTAAATGCATATAAATACGTGAAAATCTATCTTGAGGCTGCTCCTCTGAAAAAGCCACACTTATTTCTCTATGCACAGATATCCCTGTGTGAATATACAGCTCCATTTCAGCTGCAGGCTGTGAGCAGCACACTTTGGGGTGCCTGTGTGCTGTGCAGGTCTAAAACCCTGAGTTTCCCAAGGCCATGGGCATGCAGGACACCTCCCTTGGTGCTGCCCTACAAAGGCTGGATGTGGCTTTTTCTGGAGTGACATCCAGAGGCAAGGGAGCACTGGGGAGGGTCTGGGGGAGACACAGAGCAGTGCCATCCACAGAATCCTCTTGCCCCAGTTGTTTGTCCCAGTGCAGAGCTGATCCAAACAAGAATGTACAGAAGAGGGCCCTAGATCAAAAGCAGCACATGTGCAAAATGACAGACACTCTAACCTCTTACAGCTGCCACTTCAGGCTCCTGGACCAAAACCCAGGCATGCTGAGGTCCTCCAGGTAACATTCCACATGTGTCCAGTGCAGCTCTGGGTTTTTATTCGTGCTCCTCCTTATCCACCTTGTTTCTGGAACTTCCCTCTTGCTGCTGCTGGCTGATGGCTCCTTTTCCTGAGCCACTACCAGAGCCTGAGGAGTGCGAACAACACTCCTGAAATGGCCCAAAACTGTCACTGCTACAAGGCAGTTCACCAAAAATTCTTCATCAAAAGACTCATCAGGCAATAGAACCAGCTGTCCAGGGAAGTGGTGGAGCCACCATCCCTGAAAGGATGCAAAAGGTGTGATGATGTGGCACTTGGGACATGGTGTAGTGGTGGACTTGGCAATTAAGGGTTGGATTTAGAGGCTTTTCCATCCAGAAAGATTCTGTGATTCTGGTTGCATCAAACTCCTGGAGGACATGAGCGTCTTCTAGATGGAAAATAACAGCATAGCAATGAGTTAACAGATCCCTCTCATCTCTTGCTCTTGGAGGGAGAAATCAAAGCCACCTCGTGGTCTCACTGGTTTGCAGCATCTCACTGGTGGTGTGGCTCTGCTGAATAAACTTACTGTAATTATCTGCCCACTGACTCCTGCTTGAGAAACCCTGGGTAAGAAAGTTTTCTGAGCTCTGGGTTAAAAAACCCCACTGTTCCTTGAGAGAGAGGCTTGGAGATGCTCAAGCAGACTGAGTAATGCAGCAGGTTGAAGTCCAAGCTCAGAGATGTGTTTTGCCTGTGGTTCTATATAATTTAATTCAGAGAGTGGGAGATGAGCTGGTTTTAAACCCAAGAATGCTGTGCTGCTAACAGTAAGGATGTGGCGCTTACCCTGTTCCTGTATTCCATCCCATCCTTCTCTGAGTAAATCCTGACAAGGATGTGCTGGCTGGGCTTAGGAAGGCTTGTGGTTTTACAAACACTGTGCTGGAGGAGAAGGAGGTGTTGAAGTTCGTGGTTTATGTAGTGGGTTGGTGATTGGAGTTGGTTTTTAGACAGAACCCAAGAAATGTTTTTAAAGCATCCAACTCACAATCATTCATTATGTTCCCTTGCCTGGACTGTCACCATTTCAGCAGGCTGCATTCAAAAGAACTCTGCTCTGGAAAATTCTCTGCAAAGGATCACCACCTAAAAATGACTGTTTCCAACTAGAACTGCCATGATTTGACAAAGGCTCAGCCAAGTTGTTTCAAAGGGATGCGTTAATGACCAATTTTTTAAACCTAATCTCTTTGAGGAGAGTCTCTGTCCCTGCTCTCAGCAGCAGCTCAGCTTTTCTGTATCTTGAATCTACACCCTTGTGGAGGAGGGCCAAAAGCATTGGGAGCGCTGGATTGCAGCCCTGGCCTTGGCCCCGGGTGGGGCTGCAGCAGTGACCTGTCCGTGCTGTGCAGGAGGGAAGGGAGGGCGCTGCAGCCGGGATTTACCTGCCCGTGCTGTCTCATCGCTGCATGGAGCATCTCACACCACACACCTGCAGCTGGACACTGCTGCAGGGACTCAGGGGAGCTCAGGGGAGCTGTGTGATGTGACGTGTGACGCGCTGTGCAGCACAGTTTTGGCCCTGAGGAGGGTCATGAGGCTGAGCACTGACTCCTGGAGGGGTGACCCACCTGAAGGCATGCTGCTTGTGTTCCACCTGTGTTCACTTCTCCCAGACAAATATAATCAGCATTCTTTGGTTTTAGTACTTTTCAACTATGTATGAGGTGTGGTCCATGGCTGAGGCTTTAGTTGCTTCCCTGTGGGAACGTAGGACAATTTTTTTCTTCGAACCCACCCTGACAGCCTGGAGAGACTCCTTGTAGCATTCTGAAAGATAAGCCAGAGTCCTCAGGCTATGGCCCCTATTAAAGACATGATGTGATAAGTCTGCCCTGGCCTGTCAGACTGGCATGGCAGGGTGGCTGTCCCAAAAGCACTTGATTTACTACCCATAATATTTTGATTAAAACATTGGTCTTATCTGGCACAGCCACATGAGGCAGAGACAAACCTAGTTCGGTGACAACTTGAAATGTTGCCATTTCCTTGGCTACCCTTGGGGATTAGTCCTTGGTCCAGTGCATTTCAATATCATTATCAATGATTTAAGGCAGGGTCCTTTTCGATGATAAACTGCAGGTGGCACAGGAAGTGAGGGATGGCAGGTCACAGGGGAATCTGAATTCCCTGGCTAAGCACAGCTCAGGAAAAGGCACATGAGTAACAGCCTGATGCAAACTAAGGCATCTGATTTGGAGCAAGCAGACCAGACCAGACCCATGGGAAACCAGAGGCTCAGGAGAGGATGTCAGGGTTGCTATGTAATTATCTCAGTAGCCACTTTCTGGGGCAAAAAAAGAAGGGGCCAAGACCTTCCCTTGGAGATAAAAATCTCGGATAAGCATAGCAGCGAGACCCTGCCCGGTGCACAAGGTAAGTTAAACTATCCTGCTGAAGGTAAGGTGGCCAAGCATGTCAGAGGATGGAAAAACTATCTAGCAGCTGGAAAGTGGACTTTGTGCCATGTGGCTGCAGGAGTCCATTGTGCTCAGCATGGCACAGAGAGAGCAAAGGGGGAACTTGGTTGGTGTCAAGGGGACGTTTGCTTTGCAGGACAGCTTGAGGAGCTGAAGTTGGAAAATAAAGGCTGTGGAACAGGGCCCTGAAAGAAAAGGCATATTGGTGGAGAAGATAAATAACATTCCACAAGGAATGGCCAAGCAAGGGTAGAAACCTCAGGGAAACCTTGCAGGCGTCAATATGCACCAGCAGCTGGACTCCCCTCACCTTGCTCAAGATGTGCATGCAAAGAGGCCTCACCTGGCTCCTGTGGCTCTGCCTGGTGTCAAGGGAGAAAGAGAGATGCTGTTTATTTCCCCTATCACAGCCATCTACCGCCAGAGGAGAGGGATTCCACACAGAACTGGGCTTTATTCTAAAAGACCCAATTTCACCTGGTTTTGGAGAGCAGCACAATGCTCAGGCAGTAAAGCTGGATAGCAACTCCCTGCTCCTTCTCCAGTGATCAGTGCCCAGTCCTATGCTTCATTTTCCTATTAGGTTCTCCCCAAGGATGCTTCCCTCAACACGTTTTCTGAACATGCATGTTTTTGGCCTCTGTTTCCTGAAGTTACTCTGGATTTTTTCCTGAAGCACCAGAGCAGGCTGCCAGTGGGGCTGGGCCAGGCAGTGTCAGGAATCACAAGAGAGTTTCCCTGGGTCACTGTGGAATGTGCTGCAGCAGCTTCTCTTCCCCCTCTGCATGAATGAGGATCAGATGCACAGGTTTCTGCTGGATGTACCACTGAATCTAATGCTATCCTGATTTGTTAAGCATCTTTTGGAGTTCATAATGTAGTTTCTCAGTTAGGTTATCCTTCTCCTGGAATGGGGCTCCTGCAGTAGGGGGGGCTCTGAATCCCAAGCACCACCTCCTGGATTGGCAAAGCCTTGGGGCACCTGCAATCCCAAACAGCTGGAGTGAAGAAATCCAACATTTTCACAGAAAAAAAGAAAACACTATTTAAACACAAAATATTCTTTTATTTGTCACTGAAGGCTACACATGGTCATTTCTGTCTGTTTGCTTTTTTTTTTTTCTAGAAGGTATCTACATCTGCACTTATTTACAGCCTGGTTGTATTTACACAGTCAAGAATACAGTATTAGAAACACAAAGTATTGAGAAAAAAAAATTTCTCAAAAAATTAGTTCCAGACTTCAGGAAAATTATTACACAGGGTAATGACAAGAGTCTTCAGTGCTGGGCTTACAGATGCAGCTTTGATACAAAGTCCTCTTCTTGGCTGGAGCTGCATTAGAAGTCCTCTCACAAAATAAACATTTTACTTTATAGAAAAGTGTGATTCTTTGATTGGTTATTTCAACAATATCTACGAACTGTTCAAACACTTTATTTTTCTTTTTTGAAAGTTTTAGTGTTTGCTTGAACAATTTCCATCTCTAAGGAAAAAAATTATATATATATGTATATATTTTTTAATTACTTTTCATTTGTCATTTTCTATGCTCCCCAGAAAGCACTGACCTCTGGAATGGGAGTTAACAGCTGAGCTATGTAACACTTGGTCAGGAACACAAAGTTTTATGTTAATTAAAGGAGAGTACAAAAGAAACACAGAAGATTTCCCTAGGGTGGGCTGGGTTGTTTTTGACTGGGGTGGCAGAGGATGGAAAACTGCCACAGGAAATGGCCCCCAGGACATGCAATGGCCCTTCATCCAGAAGGGAGAAGAGGGGTCCTGGACAGGGCCCTCCGTGCCCCCAAGGTGTCTGTTTAAAGTTTGCTCTACAGTCGCAAGTAATTTTATGTAAATATTTTCAAGAGATGAAAAAAAATCAACCCAAAACAAATACACCAAAAAATAAAAAAAAAAAAAGCAAACACAAGAAGGCTTTGGGTTATTTTTTTATTTTTATAAAACTCATGGAAATTCTTTGGTGTAACGGGGAACTATTTAGTGATCATAATAAAATGAGTGATTATAATAAAAAGAGGTACTGAAAAACTAGCTTGTCCTGTGGAGGACTGTAGCAACAGGAGCAAAAATGCCCCAGGCCATGCTCACTGTGGGATGGAGGACGCTGCTGGCCACATGGCAGCCAGATTTTATCCCATCAAATTCATCCCTGGCATGGAGGCACAGTGTTCATGTTCACCAGGTCTGGAAGAGCCACCAGGGTGAGAAGATAAACTGAGTGAGATTTAACAAGCAAAGCGATCTCCCTAGCTCCATTATTAATGTTACAGGCAGTTGTTTCTCCTCCCCTTTTAAAAAGCAGCCACAGGACTAACCATGATCCCTGGCCCTGGTTTCAATTACGCCGAGATTGAATCAAAATAGACTGCTGTGCCGTAAATACGAGGGGGGCCCTCTCTGTAAATCGTAAAATCGAATTCTAAAATTTCATGTTAAGAGCCTTGTCTTTGCATAATGGATTGCGCTGCCATCCATCACGGTGACACTTACAAGTCACAGCTGAAAAAGTACTTTATTAGATTTTTTTTTTTTGAACAATTTTGATTTATTCTGGTTACACTGTCTGTATAATAGACTGAGCAGAATTTCATGCCGGTCCCTACACTCAATAAAGCAACTACAGATATATTACAGAAATCCCTCACTGTTCCTAAGTTACGGCCAAATGGTGTCTCAGGGACTGCTCCCAGTCATCTGTGTCTTCTAAACCTGAATCAAGCACCGGGCTCTTAATGACCTTCATCTCATCAGCTCTCGCCTGGTGTTGTTTAGCATTGTTGGCCCATTTTCACTGTGGCTCTGATCAATAGCTGTGATGACAAAGATATGATGAGCTGCGTGACTCCCTCCGGTCACTGCTGCTTAATGATTTTTCCAAGTGCCAATCTCCAGTTGAAAGGGAAAAAATAAAATAAAATAAAGATCTCAGAGGAAACAAATGTGGCATTTCTTGTGATGCCTAATTGGTCTTGCTCCTCTCCCCCTGGGCTGGGTTCACAGGATGTTATTCAGCTACAGAGTCCTCATGGCACTGCTTATGTTTGGATGCCACACCAAGTAAGTCCCATCACTGTCGTTCCTTCAAAAGGAGCATGTTTCAATACCAGCTCCAGCTACTGAAGACTTGAGCTGTTGCTCTTTATTGCTCTCACTGAGAGATGCAGCCTCTGCTCCAAAGCACTGCATTTTGTCCTCTGAGCTGTGAGATTTGGTCAGGATCCTTCTCACTACTCTTTGGACTGGAGACAAGACCAGAGTTGAAAGCAAGTGAAGTTACACCTCTGTATTTTGATGGGGAACTCCTTTTGGTGAGGGCTGAGTCCTCTTTTTGGGAGTCAAGAACAAAAATGACTTCTCAAAAATCAAACCTTAAAGCACATGAGACTTAAAGCACAGTGATGTTTTCCCCAGGAGATGGTATGCCACACCTTTCAATGGGCCTTTGAAACAGCATCTAGAGCAATTGCTGGAGGGAAGGGATGCCATCCAGAGGGACCTTGACAAGCCTGAGTGGTGGGCCAGTGTGAACCTCATGAAGTTCAGCTGGGGCAATCCCAAGCACAAATACAGGCTGGGCAGAGAATGGATGGAGTGCATACCTAGGGAGAAAAATGGGGGTGCTGTTGGGTGAGAAGCTCACCATGACCCATTAGGGAGCAGTCACAGCTCAGAAAGCCAAACGTATCCTGGGCTGCATCACCAGCAGTGTGGGCAGCAGGGCAAAATTCTGCCCCCTGCTCTGCCCTGACCAGATCCCAGCTGGAATGCTGCATCCAGCTCTGGGGCCCCCAACACAAGAAAGATGTTGAGCTGTTGGAGCAAGTCTGGAGGAGGCTGCTAAGATGCTCACAGCGCTGCTCAGCCTGGAGACGACTCTGGGAACCCCCTAGAGACCCTTCCAGTGCCTAAGGGGCTCCTAGAGAGCTGGAGAGGGACTTTGACAAGGGCATGGAGTGACAGGACAATGTGGCATGGCTTCAAACAGAGAGAGTAGATTAAGTATTGGGAAGAAATTATTTCCTGTGAGGGTGGTGAGGCACTGGCACAGGTCGCCCAGAGAAACTGTGCATATTCCATCCCTGGAAGGGTTCGAGGCCAGCTGGGATGGGGTTTTCACCTTTTAGTGAAAGGTGTTGCTGCCCATGGCAGGTGGTTGAAACTGGATGATCTTTAAGGTTCTTTCCAACACAAACCAGTCCCTGATCCTATGATAGGGAGTGAAGTGCTGTGGGATTTGCACCCAAGACCTTCCACTCTCATGGAAGCAATAAATTACTTCACGCCTGCACATAGACAAAGCAAGAAGGGCCAGGCAACCAGAATGGTAACATGGGGAGGCAAAATGGACAACAAAAAGGCTGGGAAGGAGCTACAGGGCCATAAGTAAACTGGAAATGCACTTGGGATCCTGTAGAAAAAGCATTTTTTTACTAATGAATGGGTAAATTTAGTGCTTCAGGACTGAAAATGTTGTTTTGCCATCTAGGTGAGGTGGAAAGCTTTCACAGAGGCTGAGGATTCAGGAATGTAGTAGCTGTCTTTGGACAGGTTTTTCCCCCAGTATTAGATAGCCATCCCTATTAAATTTTTGTTTTGATAGAAAGGAGCAACATATACATATATATACTTTTATAGCTATATTTTTCCCCCTTTTGACACAATGTCCATAGTTTCCATACGAGCTGCAGGCCCAGGAGAAGACTGTCACGGACCCAGCAGGCAGACAGGCGTAGTCACGTCCCAGTGCTGCTTGACGATGCAGAAAAATGCAACACGAGGGTCTTGCCTTGGCCATGGCACAGAGCTCTGGGGTCCTGGCTCTGGGCGTGCTGGACAAGCATGGAGGGACTGGGAGACTCTTGAAAAATGGGTGAACTCCTCAAAGTCATTAGCTCATGTAATAACCTGAAGAGTCTGCGTAAGGCTGTAGAGGTGCCATCTCAGGCTGGCAGGGTTCCAGTAGGAATATTTTACACTCCAATCTCTTTTCTTGACTCCGTGGAAAAATGGCCCATTTATTCTTGCGCTGCACCTCTTCGCATTGTAACACATGGACGCAGATGGATACAGAAGCATCACTTTTCTTCGGAGCTGCTTGGAATGGGGCAGTGTAAATGGGAGGCACAATGAGCTCTCTCTGCTCTGTGAGTCTTTTACTAGGGGTTCATACCTTTTGACCCTGCCTCCTGCAGGTCTCTTTTTGTTCCATTCATGCTGTTTGAGACACTCACAGCCATCACAAGTTTGAGGTTTTAAGAGGGATTTGTCCCTAGTGTGACTTGGAGAGAGGGAAGCAGGGAGCTGGACAGCACTGGCAAGAAGGTGCTGCTTCCTTTGAGTAGGTGGTTACTGCTGGTTTGGCTAACACTGCCCCTGACCCCCACCTGTGCATCCTCAGGGCAACCCACGCTTGCCAAGCACTTTATACCAGGCATACAGGTGGCAATGCCATGGCCTTTTAACCATCCCTGGCAGGCAGCAGCCAAAGCAACTGCTCCCTTGTAAAAGCCTGGAGCAGGTCTGGCCAACATGTCTTCTCCCACCTGGCTCTGCCAGAACTGGATACCCTTTCCAGCTGCCTGTGGTTCACTCCTGCCAAAGTAATAAAGGTTGTGTGCTGCAAGGGGTGGTTCAGAGTACAGCGCTGGGACACAGCACCAGCATCAACACCCTTGCTGCAAGCAGGAGAGAAAAGCAGAAAATCAAACCCATAACATTGGTCATTGCCACACAGCCAAAGGTATTAGGGATTCGGAAACGGAGGAGGAACAGTCTGTTAGGGGAATTTCCATCCCATCAGCTTCCTCCTGGCAAGCACCCTGGAACAGACAGGCAAGGCAGACGGAGCTGGCAGCCGGTTTCTACAGAGAAACCGTGAGAGCTCCGGGGCTGCCAATGTTTCACTGCTCAAGGACTGCATGGCCAACACATGCCCCCGCTGTATCTGGGGCTCAGATCCTGCAGAGGGGTGCCAGTCTGTGCTGGAGGATGGCAGTGGTGGTGGCATGAGTGCAGAAGAGCTGCCTCTGAGTACACAGGTGCATTGTAGGACTCCGAGTAAGGAAACAGCCTTGGCATGGAGTTGTCTTGGGTTATCTCTCTGTAGAACTGGGAAAAGCCAAAGTGGATGGAATTAAAAAAAAATTAAAAAATCAGGGCTGAGCTGGTCCCAGAGAGACACAAGAGAGCTCTTACAGTCAGGACATATGCAGGTATCAGTGTGATAGAGACATCTATCTAGGACCAGGGTTAGCCACCTCCAGCCAGAGCTCCATTGAGAGGTGGGGTAACACTTCTGCCTGCAGGAACAGCACAGGACTGTTTCAGGCAGGGAAGAGGATGCTGACCTCATCTCCTTGCTCCCCTGAATTTCAAGGACTCTTCCAAATACCAGAGCACAGAGGTTATGTGAATAAAAATTACATTAGCATGCCGAGCAACTTTGTCAGCAGTTTCTTATTAAAGCACTTGGTCCTCTCTGTAGTGGGCATTTCCATTGAACCTCCCCCTCGTCACTGCTAACAGTCAAATGGGCTCTCCATTAAATTTGAGCTCATGTAAGAAACAGTGAGAGGGTTGATTTCATATTCTCCTTCTTGTCCCACCACGCACAAGCTGTTGCTACTTATTAAACATTTTAAAATCCCTGCTGCCAAAGTCCCCAGGAGACATTTATCTGCCATAGTCATAAATGACTTGCCAGCATGCTACTCCAAACTGCATTTCCCAGCCAATAAATACAAGCTCCAGAATCAGGAAAAGCAGGGTTTGACTCTAATTTTCAGTGGTATGTCACTGGGATACTATAACTACTTTTAAATTCAAATCAGCTTCCTAGAAATTAACTGGTTTTATCAGATACAGCACAGTGGACTGTTAAACACGTAGCCTCATGTACTGAAACACTATACATTTAATGAAGTTATGCCATTAGCAAATGTACAACATGGGTGCATTAAATCCACCTATAGAACAGCTCTACGTATGAGAGAGGATTTATTTTAGCTTTTCTCAATAGAGCAGGAGTCCCTTTTCTTGGCTTTTGCTAGGTTATTTAACTAAAACCAGGATTTGCGCACACACAAAAAAACCCAAAAAGTATCTACTCTCATAATGAAAAAAGACCAATTTTTTCTCTTTTTTTATTCCAGTTCAGGAAGGAAGAGAATCATCTTGCAAGGTAATATAATCAGCTCCTTTGCCTCTATAATCTACTTCTGCTCAGCAGGAGCCCCCAAAGAAACACTTTATGTCCCAAGTGAAACGTGAAAACTACTTGTAAGGTCCCTTTTGAGGCACATGATTCGGACGGTCACTTTCAGAGTATCAGAATCAGCGTTGTCTTCCATCTCCTTTCTTTCTGGGAAGAGCTCTCTGGCATGCCATGGGCTCTCCCTGCTCCAGGTGGAAGGCTATGTCCCTGCCCCAAATTAGAAAGGGTTAGGATGACACAAGTTAGCACAGACACCCATTTTGCACTTACACCTAAGGACTTACGTTGACGACTCCCCACTTCAAATTCCTCACAAAGAAGGGGGAAAAGAAACAAAAAAACCCAAAACAAACAAACAGAAAAAAGGACAAGAGACAGTAAATTTCACTGTGATCACACTACGGCAAAATATACCTTCTGTTCATTGCAAAAAACGCATGAAGGCCAAATTAAAGCGGGAAAAAAGTATGTTGCATGAGTTACAGTGCAACCGTATTATTCCTTCTCTTTCTATCTTCCTCCCACCCCACCTTGTTCAGTTTAGAAAAAGGATTGAGTACAACACAGTCAGGTAAGTGGCCACAAAAGAGTAGCTGTCTTTGGCAAGAAGTCACCGCATTGACCCTCTCTGTCACCTTCTGCCCATTTCACTCTGTCTCATGAAGTGGATGTTGTTGGCGCTGTCTGAGAGTTCAGGGTACTGCTCCACTGAGATCACAAAATAGCCATCGTAGCCCTGTACCCGGCCCGTGTTTAGCACTTGTTGCTTCTCCCCTTCTGTCCACGAGCGAATACCCTCCTCCCCATCCCGCAGTCTCTGCTGTTCCCGGGACCAAGCTTGGGTGACGGCGCGCTGTCGGGCCAGCTCCAGGACGCGTGCCTTCTCCTCGTCCAAGGTGGTCCCGTAGCGCGTGTTTAGACACAGTGCACCGTACTGGAGCTGGATGTCCGTGTAGCGTCTAGTCCTCCCACTCAGCACTGTGTTGATCTGGGACACTGTCACATTCACGCCGTTCTCCAGGGTCCTCCGCCCGCCGCTGAGGCCCAGGATGGACAGGTCACCCTCCGACGGCCCCTGCTTGATGAAATAGTGCGTGTCCACCCCGTCGATGGTGAAGTGCAAGTTCTCCAGGTAGTGGGCATTGTTCAGGATGGCTGCGATCCTCCGTCCATCCTCATTGGCCACGCTGATGATGTCCGTGGCCACACGCCCGTCTTTCATGGCGAACTTGACGCCCTTGCCAAAGATGGAGCCTCCTGAAGCAAAGTTCTTGTTCTTCTTGATGTGCCGGCACCCAGCGATGCTGGAGCTGTAGATCTGTTCAAAGCGCTCCAGGGTGACAAAAGCCTTCAGCTGCTTCTGCACTTCACACTGGACCCCCAAAATGGACTGAGCAGGGAGAGAAAGAAGAGAACGACATATTAGAAAGAGAAATCTGATGACCCAAAAGCATTATTAGGATGCTGGAGAGCAGGAGAACATACTGGAGACATGTAATGAAGAGCTCCATTATTTTTTCCCCCTTATCACATTTTTTCAAAATTTTAATTCATGGGAGAGAAATGTTGTCCCCTCCTAATGCTCATTGTTTCTGAAACCTGAACTGTATTTAATCTCATAGATTGAAGGATGTAAAGGTAGAAAATTATTTTTTTGCCTCAGTGGTGTGGGCGTTGAGTTTGGATGCATAATTAGGTTGTGTTTCAGTGTTCTTCTGCATATAAGAAACAATTGTCTTATGGCCATGATGCTTTACCAAATGCTTTCAGCTTTTCTGTGAAATGTGGAAGTATTTCTAAAAGTTTCTTCCATTTTAACTCCACATTGTAACTCCTTGTGCTCCTTGCCCCGCATGACCTGTATGACCCTCAGAGTGGCCATAACCTCTTGATATTCCATTTCAGCCTGGCTAAAGCAGGTTGTTCAAAACTCAAGGAAGGCATTATATCCAAAACTTATTTCCTGGAAACCCCCTACAATTTGCCAGGCTCCCTGAGTTAAAGCCAACCACACCTGATGCTCAGGTTTTAGCTTATTTTGAAGCAAAAATTGAGAGACAACAGCCCAGATCATTTGCAGTCCAGTGCAATACAAACGCACTTTTGCTGTTAGGGTATAATGGAGCAAGCACACAGTGAGTCAGCAGCTCATCATTACTGCAGAATGTTCTGGAAATGCTCCCATCAATTCATGGCAGTGCTGACTTACAGACTCCTGTTCACAAACAATTATTTGCTCAAATTTCACAAAAGCAAGAGGATTCTATGACAAAACTCTCCTGGTACTGCCAACGGCTCAGTTCAAGAATGTAATGACACACAGGATTAAAAATAGGCTACAAAGTTTACTCCATTCCGATTATTTCGAGGAAATTAAACACCCATGAAGGATATTGCCTTAAACTGTCCATGAACTAGAGATTCACATCCTAGGTGCAAGAAGACAATTCAGATGATGCAGGCATTTCAGTGTGGACCTCTCACACAAGACTTGTAATATAACAAGGGAAGTGAAATAAAACCTAATTTCCATGGTGGCCATTTCCAGGGAAGAGTCATAAAGCATTAAAAAAAAAAAAAAGGGATTGAGCATTGCCACATTGCCACTTACTAAGAAGTTATGAGCAGTTTTGACTGTTAAAAGGGAAAACTATAAGGGAATAGAGGAATACAATTTCAAAAGCACATTTTAGGTTGTAGAACATTAAAATTCCCAGAAATTACTTTTGTTCAAAGTGCTGAGCAGGCTGGTGTACCTTCTCCATTTCCCTTTTTGATTGACAGCATAGCAGGTGGAGCAGGAACCAGTTTCCTATGAAAAAGGAGCTCTTTCTGGTTTTCTCCATCCTGCCTGTGGGGCATCTCACATGTCCCCTAGAGAGCAATATAATTAACAGACTGGTAGGGAGCTGAGCCCAGCTTCTCTGCCAATTGCACAAGTGCTCTAATTATGCAAAAAATGGACGTAATTAATGTAGATGTCAGTGATGATGGACATGGAACAATTAGTCTTCTAGGCTTCATAAAACACTTACTGCTCTAAACAAGTGCACACTGCACAGCCTTGGTAATTAGCTACTTCCTCCAAAGAAGTTGAAATGGAGAGTTCTTCTCAGGTGTATCTCATATGGCTTGACTCTAGGTGGTCCTTTAGCCACTTTGTATGTCATGCTGCCTTTCCAACTTGCCTCAGCAACATTTACCAGTGATGGGAAAAGGCATCTCTCAGCGCTCATACCAAATCATTGCTCACTCAAGGATGTAAATCAGGTCTTCTGGCTACACTGCTACGTCCTGTGATCACTTATGTATCTCCATATACATATACATCACCTTGTTTACCAGCAGGGGAGTGATAAAGAGTCCCTGGAATTAATTGCACCATCTAATTGCACCACCCTGATTATCACCTTGGAGAATGGAGCTCGGGGAGGTCAGGCAGTACTGGGCATGGACGAATAATTCCCATCAGAAATTGCCCCTGTTCCCCTTCAATTTTGTCTTCATCACCTTATTCTTGATGAGCTGCTGGAACTCCAGTATGTTCTCGATTATGAGCAAATTATTAGGCAAAAATCGTCTATTAATGTCTCCAAATTAGGTTGCCCCAACAAATCAATGGATCTGGACACCACCATAATATCAAAATTCACAGGCAGAGACCTACCTTCAGGTGTCTTAATCAAGAACAAGAGCACAATCAAAAAACGGTTTTCTATTGAGGACTGGTTACTTCTGGGCTCTCCCCACCTTTTTTTCACATAAGGAAGGAGGAAATGAGATGTGCAAAGCTGTAATGCTGAACATTCACCATCACTTAGAATCACAGACTGGTTTGGGCTGGAAGGAACCTTAAAGACCATCTAGTTCCAAACCTTCTGCCACAGGCAGGGGCAACTTCCACTACACCAGGTTGCTCAAACTTAACTATTAGCTATCAACAATTTCAATAACCAAATGCATCTCTGTTACCTTGAAAACAAGCCCAGGATGACTTTGAAATGACTTTTTGAGTGCATTTCTTTGATAAAAGCATGTATTTGGGAACAGCATTCTGTTAAAAGGAAAAGCAAACACATCCAACAGAAAAAAACCCCCAACCAACAAATTCAAGCAAACCAGAGCACAGCCAGCGTGTATGCTGTGCTGTGAATATAAAGAGGGTGGAGGCAAACAGATTGTGCATAGTTCAAAGAAGCAATGTATCCCTGACTTTGAAATTACCATTTCTGTTCAATCTTAGAACTCATTTCAATGAACTGGCAAGGAAAAGAAACAGAAAATTTCCATCCAAAGCTGCAGTGGCATGTGCTATTCTGTAAAAATTGCTACTGCTTTTAGCAACTGTAAACCAAGGCATCTATAAACCAGTTTTACAGAAGAAAGAAGGGAATTTATCGCTATTTTATTTCAATATTTGTTGCTCGATGTGAGTGACAAATATGCTGGATTTGTTTTTCCTCACAGTCTTTTTTAATCAGATATCCTTAGGTGACATTTCACTTTATCTAGTAACAACCCTTTGGAGAGAAGAGAACGACCTTCATCATTTGTTCTCTGCTGCACAAAGCTCAGGAGAGCGGCACATTACCAGGATCTCTGAATAGCCTCTTGCATTTTGCCAGCACCTCTTGAGGATTTGAAATACCATCGCCAGATCCTATCATCTGTTGTTTTTAAATACCGCCTTCCAGTGTGAGACTGAAAGCTTTAATTTCCCATCAAGGATCCAAGATGTGAAATACGTGAACATGTTTCCAAGTTTCTTTCTATCCTTGTGCCATTATAGACAGATAGGTGTTTCTCTTACCACCATATGGCTTACAATGCAGAAAGCTACTTTTTCCAATAGGTTTGGAAGTTATGATTTCTCTGATATATGATTCATTTTTAACTCCTTCCTATCTATCACAGAATCACAGAAAGGCTTGGTCTGTAAGGGACCTAAAAGATGATCTTCTTCTAACCCCCCCACCAGGATGCCCCCACTAGACCAGGCTGCCCAAAGCCCCATCCAACCTGGCCTTGAACAATCCCAGGGATGGGGTATCCACATCTTGTCTGGGCAACCTGTGCCAGTGCCTCACTGCTCTCTGGGTACAGAATTTCTTCCTAACATCTAATCTATACCTCTACTGTTTTAATTAAAAACTGTTCCCCTTTGAACTATCCCTATTTGCCAGTGCAAAAAGTTGCTCTCCCTCTTTTTTATAAGCCCTCTTTTTATTTACCCTGTAGTTCTCTGTTAACAAAGCCATTGTTCAGCCATCAGCTCCTCCCTATATTCCATGTGGCCATAACCTGGAGACAAGTCTCCGTTTGGATGTGCCCACCAGCATGGCTGCACTGCAGGCTCTTGGGTTGTCCAAGAGGTGACGTGTGGGGCAGCAGAGGTGAGCCACGGGCCAGCAAGGCCAGTGCTCTGGATGCTGGCTGGCTGGGAATGAGCCAAACTTAGGAGCACTAACTCAGGGGCTTAGAGGACAGGTCTCTCCTCCACCCCACCACCGTATATGACTGTATGGGGATAACGAGGTTGAGTTCATTACGCAGATTTCAAGTGTGGAGAAGTAAGAGGATTTGCCTCTGCCTCTTGCTCATCACTTTATAGATTTCTCATCTATTTTCATAAAGCCCCAAGAGCTTAATGTTTTTGAGACTTCAACTCTTTTCCCTGCATAGGATTCTCTGAAAACTGACCACTGCATTTGTAAAACATAACTGGGAGCTGATGGACAGATGAGCAGACAGTGTGACAGTCCAAGCCCAGGCCAAAGCAACTGCAATGTCAGGATACCTTCCCTGAATGATGAACACTGGCAGAGCCAGTCCCTCAAACAGATTGTCCTTGGAAGAAGCTCTGCCAGAAAGCACAGCCTTATAGCTCATGTCCTGGCTGAGCATCCCAGAGCAGCCCTTGCCTTTAAAATGCTGCTCCAGAGGGGATGCCAAAAACTACTTCTCCAGCAAAGCCTGTAACAGGCACTGCAGAAAACAAGACCCTTCCTGGAGACAGTGCCCATGGGATGGAGAGAATGGTAGTTATAACAGGATGTAGATAATGATACAAGTGCTGACTCCAAAACACCCCTCCCTGGAAATAGAGTTGTTCTGGCTCCAACAATTACCTGACAGCTCAACGAGACAAAACAAGGAAGGGGAGAAAAAAAAAAAAAAAAACAACAAAAAACTAGAAGAGAAATTGGATTCAGGTGCTGCAGTTCCACAATATGCCAGAGGTCACCCAGAGTCCCCCAGTGGCCAATAACACTGAACTTGTTCAACAAACAATTTAGTGACAGCTTCACAGTCGTGGGGAGGAGGGGGGAAGTGCTGCACAATGGAGTATTGGATTTTAAATGTCACTTCAGAGCTTTAGGGGGTTAGTGCAAGGCTTATGACATGCTGGCTGTTTTTGAGGTGGCGGATGCTCAAAGTCAGAATTATCTCTCCTGTCTTCCAGAGCGGCAAGGCGAATACCAGAAATGTTTTGGAAGGAGATGCTAGGGCCCTCTGGTTATGCACTCTGAAGAGAGATGAAGCAGCCATTTATGGGTGTTAGTTGTGTTGTTATTGTGCTCCTGTTAGTTGCTTCTTTCTGATAAAAGAACAGACTTAATCTGCTGGGCCAACTTTTATCAGCAATACCAGTGGAGTAGCTCAAATATACTTTTGTCTATCACAAGGAGGTAAGTGACCCAGAGAAACTAGGAATCAGAAGACATGGAGATGAGAAAGTTGTGGTACATCATTCAGTGATCAGTGCCTTGTCCCGGCTACTTTTAAATGATAAAAGATCTAGAGCTTACTCTGTATGCTCTGCAATACCATTTTACAGTTTGATCAGTCTTATTAACTGAAAATGTTTCCTGGGCTTTCATTTACCTTGGTTTAATTTTGTCACTTCCTATGTGAAATTTTCAAAAGATTTTATTTTCTTCCACATGCTTCACCAATGAATACAGAGACAACCAGTGACAAGGAGGACTGGACTGTGTTTGGGAGTGTGTATTGATGCCTTGAAGGGTTGGGAGTGAATAGAACTTCATAGAAGCATCAGTGTTGGATGCATGGATAGGCATAGGAGAAAATGGATCATGTATTCAGGTATCATATGTGAATGAATTTGGAATATGCAAATATATGCCTACAATATGCTGGGTGCGACAGAAAGCAAGGGAATCCTGCTCTACAGCATTTAGGAACCCCTTGCTCTCACAGCATGATCCTGCAACTGTAGACTGAAATAAAAAAGCTCATGTTTTGTTGCTGTCATAACAGGGGAAGAATATGAAACAGCCTGCAATGGTTAAATTCCATTTTCAACATCTGAGTGCAAAGGGACTCATCTGGAAGCATGACAGCTGTATAAAGCCCTCTTTTAATGAGCAGGCCCCTGCATAGCCCTCACTGCAGCTTCTGGCTTTAAAAATCTGTGTGGGCCATGGAGATTTCCTTTTCTTCTTACTGCTCATTAAAGCAGATTCACCTAAAATAGGTGGACAGAAGGGAGGGTTCTCCTTGATTTTATTTCCAGCTCATCTGCCTGTAAAAACAAGGGTCAGTCATCACCTCAAGCTGTCACTCAAGTTACTTGACTATTCAATAAGTCAAATAATGATAGTACATGAAAAAGTTATATATATATATTACATACTATAATACACATGATGAACTAATGATAAAACAATAATATAGTATTACCAATAATAATAATTTCTGTGGTGGTTCTGTGAGAGTTATTATCTACAGCACATAACAATACAGAGATGGTCTTCTGTGTAGTCTCTGGGTGAGTCTTTCCTGTTCGCCTACTCCTGTACAGCTTTGCCCAGGGAGACTGTGTCCCAGCAGAGGGGAGAAAAAATCCTGAGGGTCTCTCTCATTAGAGAGGTAACTTCCATTAGCATGTTATTGTTTAATCCAAGGAAATAAGCAACAAAAAGGGAGCCTCTGTGCTCCAAACCACAATTGAGTTACTGCACTGTAAAAGTTTTCAAGCATCAACCCAGTGATGGTAATTTTTTTAGTTCCACCAATATTATTAAGTGACACTTCAAATAGATTTCTTGTTGAAGTTGAAGCTGGTGCATTTTAACTTGTCTTCAGCACGGCTGTGAGGCTGAGTACCAATGATGAACCGACATATGACTACTATCAATCCACAGTAATTTGTTTGTACCTTTGAGTGATACCTTTTGTCGTTCAGAAACGTGACCTCCTGGTTTGAGATGTACACCTCAAGAATCTTGCTGCAGGTCATCAAGATTTCAGTGAAGCCATAGGTAGAGAGGCTAGGAGGGCAGATGGAATCAATTCCATTGCCTACTGTTGTCATATTATTAGCAGAAATGTGAAGAGCATGTCCTGATCTCCCCAGTCATGTTGGCGCCTCACTGCTCTTGCAACGTTCGAACAACCAGCAACAGCAAGTGGGAGTTCAGACTAAAGAGGATTCAGACTCAGATGAAAGCCTCCCCAGAATACAATCAGGCTATGAAATGGAAGAGAATCCTGAGAGGTAAGTGACTTTCAAGGTCATACCCTGATAAACAGTAGGGCTGGGACTTAACCTAGGGCACTCAAATCCTGACCACGTGTTCTAACTTTTAACAGTGCTGCCTCTGCCTTTCAGTTGAGTAAGCACCAATAGGAAGATGGGGAAATGATAAGGCTGTAAAAGCCTTTTTCTTGCCAATTTTATCACTGAATTTTGTACCAGCATCTACCAAAATGCCTGGGGAAACAAGCCTGTTTTTAAAAGCAGGACACAGTTACATGGGATTTAACCTGGTCAGGTAAAATGAAAGTTTAATATAATAAAAAAATTCTTTCTCGAAAGACTCTCTGCAATACAAAAGAACTTCCTATGCAAGTAGTGTGACTTCTTGTTTAAGATATTTTAAACCAGAATGAATAGGTTTCTAGAACAAAACCCCCCAAACTTTATAAACCAATTCTCTATCAAGATTCACTTTTTTATAACTTCTAAAAATCCTGGGTACAAAGGCCTTGAATTTAACCTGCAATATGTGATAATGGAAGAAAGAAACACTAACACACCATTTCACTGAGCAACCACCAGAAAATATCACAGAAAAAAGCACCATGGCAGTAGGGAACTTAATATGCGATTATTTGCTCAGATTTCAATACTGGAATGGGGTTTGACTTGCTCTCCCTCTCACAACATGCTGGTAGAGCTTTTTCAACCAACACTGCAAATGAGTGGTTTGCTGATAAGGGCATGAGATACAGTATGGAGTTCCATGAATCACCTTGCTATTGTCCCATTCTTGGGTTTTCATCTGTGTGTGGATTAGCTCATAGGATGGCTCCATGGCATCCATATCTGGCTTGGGGTAGCCGGGGATGACATTGTGCAGCTGGAACCCAAAGGTGAGCAGCCAACTGTTGACATCTGCAAGGGAAGAGAAACATAAATAAGATTATCTGATCTCTCAAGCAAGATTGCCCAGGAGAAGGCACACAGGAGGATGCCACAGTGGCTGGCACTGCAGCAGTCTGGACAAAATGATGAGCTTCTGCTTTGTGTGAAAAGCAGAAATCTTAATGGTCCTACAATGAGCCGTGTGCCAAAATCTGGCCTTTCCACCTCCAGCCAGAGCCAAATCCCGTGCTTTCCCAGCTCTGAAACAGAAACATTGGCAGTGAGCAAATGGCCCAAATCAAAGCAAACTTCATGTCTGCCCTTCATCAGCAGAAACCAAGCACTGTTTGAAGGTGTGCAGAAGTACAGCAGCAGCAACACACTTGGAGGCTGAGATGCTCCAGCCAAGTGGGAAGTGTTATCCACTCCTACAGTCAGCTCGGAACACCTCAGCCCCAATACTTCTATCCCCAAGGACTCTCCAAGGGCCTGTAGGCTGAAGACTAAATTTAGAGCTATGTACCAGAATACCAGGACATCCAGGATGGACAGCTCAGGCATTTAGCTGGTGCTCACAGAAGAGACTCTGGATATATACACTGCTTTTTCCATGGATTTCCACCTCAGTCCAGAGTTTCCTGGCATCTTTCATAAGAAGCTGCAGTTTGAGTATTAAACCAGTGTAAAGTCACATCATCTTTTACAGTGGTATTTATAATTAGACTTCATACTACCTGCAAGGTACATTATAGTGAAAATAAGTGTACAGACACGAGAGGTATTTTGCTGGGGTACTTTTTACAAACACCTTTAAAAAAGTCCATGAATGGTGAGAAAACTGGTGGCTATCAGTGATAAATTATTGTCTTATACAGAAGAGGGACCACTAGCACTAAAGGGAATGTGATGGAAAACCAGCCATTTGGGACATCATTCCTGCATTTACTTGCCAGTAGATTTCAAAGTCTTCCTTGATTTTTGATTGCACAGCTATTAGGAATAGCAGGCGAAAGTTAATCTGCTGGAGGAAAAAATTATGAGGTTAGGTAACTCCTAGATCTGTTTGGGATTAGCATCACTCCCTCCCTTAACTCCAGAGCATTTGATGAGCCTTCACTTAGCTCCAGAGGACACACCTGCTACAATCCCTGAGCAATATGGTGTGAATTTGGCACACGATAGCAATTGCAAGGCAAAAAACTGTATGAAGGGGAAGTTTAACTAATATTAGCTCCCAGGAGTCTTAAGTGTCTGGATGTAACTGGAATTTTTCTTGGTGATTGCTCTGCTTCATGCTGGAAGTGCAAAGGCTTGACTTTCATTTTGCTAAGCTCAATAAGCGTTGTTGAAACCATCTGAAGACAGAAAAAAATTTAATAATAAAATATGCATCTTTGAATATTTTTTTCTTTATTCCCATGAGCCTAAATTAATGTTTTGAAGAACTGGTTGGAAAAGAAATTATGGATGCAAGTGGCAAATAACGCCGTTCCAGATGACTGGAGGATCAGGAGCCAAACAAACACACTATCTGTTGCTTGTTTTCCTGCAGGCCAAAATGTTGCGATTGGGCAGATGTCCAAAAAGCCCTTGTGACAATCCATGTGGAAGAGGGAGGATTTCTGTAATAAAAACACTTCTGTTCACTCAATGTACAGATTGTTTTTGGAGTGTCTTTGAAACAGAGAGGCTGGGGGGGTATGAGAGAAATGAAAAGGCTCATTTGATTATTTTGTTGCCTAGTGCTAAGACAGCCTGCCTCCAAATCCTTCTTATCTCAAATGAAGAGCTTTGATGTACATATTGTGGACCAGGTGGTTAGGAGAACAAAGTAAAACAGTGAAGGTCAGCATTGGTGCAGGAATCATTCCCCAAACACTTCAAAAATGCTAGAAAGAATACAGAGCATGGATGCTGAACTGTTGAAAAATATGTAACATGTCTGGAAATATCCAATACAGGGGGCTTCTTTAATACTTCTCAGAAAATTGACTTCCAAAACATTTGCAACAGGAGTTTGTTCTTTTTTGGGAGAGGTGTTAGAATACCCAGAACAAAAAACCACCAAAACAAACAACCTGAAACCATGAGAAGAAGGTGTGGAGATGAGAAAACAGAGGGGAAAATACTAATTTGCCAGGAGGCAGTGACAACTTTTTTGACAGAAAAGTACATTTCACATCACAGAGGTTTTTTTCAGCTACAGTAACCCTGCCAACACATTTCACAGTAAATTCATTTGAGGGCAAAGAAAAAGAGTGCTTAATGCAGACACATGTAATGGAAATGTCAGTTCAATCCATCAGGATTGCTGAAGCTGGCAGCAAAGCTCTGTGCCACGAAGTGTACAATCACTAAAATATTCAGGTTTAACAACGGGCCTCTCAAAACATAAATACCTGCTTCTCCTGCTCTCCCCTCCACATACCTTCAATTTCTTTAAGCTCAGAGACCTCATCACTGCGGACCAAAGCATGTGCTGGTCACCCATGTCCTGGGCACTGAGCTCCCCTAAGGACAAACAGGTCCCAGTGTGGGAATGCAGGGACAGAGAGGTGTTCCCTGTGTCCAGATCTGGGCAGATTTGGTTGTGATGACAAGGACAGTCTTATCATGGGTCCTGTCCACAAGGTGCCTGAAAGCCTGAGCAAAAAGTGCTGGTGCAGCAGCCTCACGTCACAGCACTCATCCCATAGCATGGCCTGATTCTTCCATGCACTGGGGGAGGAGAAACTTGAAAAATGTATTTGGGCTTTATATTCTTGAAAAACTAAAAATAGAACTTATAAGGCCGTGGAAAAAAATTATTTGCTGCATTTAAAATATTAGTGCATCAGTTTTCGACATCTTGATTTTACTGTCAGAGTTGTGTGGGAAGGGCACCTGTTCTAACACAGGGCTAGAAAAATATATTCTGTCCTTTCTTAACTTGAGCAGGAAAACAAAAATCTGTTAATATGCCACAAAGCAACAGTTCAGAAACTAGATCTGTTCAGACCACAAATTTCCAATTAACTTCTGAATTAAACTCCATGTTGATTTTGATTCCTTATTTTTCTTTTCCAGTTTTCAATCACTAGTTTACACTTAACTTGAAAAAGCTGAAAATCCAAAATCCATTTTTGTTTAAGGACATTGTGGAATTTGTCATTTAGACAATTTTGAAAGCTGTTTATGCTTCTCCTGAGCATAAACTGCATCTCTCAAGCTCAACCCTCCCCCACAAACAAATTCAGTTTTGACAAATAAGCATTTTCTGATAGGAAAAGTTATCTTGAGGTATTCCCTCCCAGCCTTTATTATCAAAGTGAGAATAACATACAGGATCTTAGCCTGCATCTTTTGACATATTTTACTTCCCTCGTGGCATCATCTTTTTAGCTCTGGAGAAAAAAACTTTTATATGAAAAAAACCCATGATCTAATCCTTATGATTATTGCAGAACAACCTGAAAGCACATATCCTAATGGCTAGAAAAACAAGTAGGATAGATAACCCAAGATTTTTACTTTGTAACGTTTACTTGCTATTAAGCAGATCTTGTAACTCAGGGGAATGCAATTATTGTTGGATTTGGGAAGGTTGTGATAGATGCAGCAGGAGCATTTAAAAATTATTTCTATCTCCTTAAGAAGTATGCACATTTGATGTGTGATTGCAGTACTTGGCTTTTCAATGGGAGGTATCTAGAAAAGAGTCCCACCAAAAAGTCTTCTCAAACTTCTCAAGCTCTCCTCATTGCTACCACTGTTGCACACAGTATGAAACTAGGGTTGAGCCTAGAGAAAGAAGAGAAAACAAAGCTGGCTGGAGATAAACCTGGGGGCAGCACACCAATGGTAGAGGGACAATTTGCCAGTGAGGTCCTTCAGGTTGCCATCTCAGTACAGGAAGGGGATGGCAGCAAACATTCAAGTGTGATCAGATGGCCAAGAAGGACAGTGCCACCCTGGGCAGTATCAGCAATGGTGTGGAATTGATTGTCCCCCCGTACAGGGCACTGGTGAGGCACACCTTCAATCCTGTTCAGTTCTGGGCCCCTCACCACAAGAAGGACACTGAGCTGCTGGAGCGTGTCCAGAGAAGGGCAGTGGAGCTGAGGAAGGGTCTGGAGCACAAGTCTGATGAGGAGCAGCTGAGCGAGCTGGGAGTGTTTAGCCTGGAGAAAAGGAGGCTCAGGGGGGACCTTACTGCTCTCTACAACTGCCTGAAACAAGGCTGCAGTATATGGTGGGGGTTGCTCTTTTCTCCCAGGTAACAAGCAATGGGACAAGAGGAAACAACCTCCAGTTACACCAGGGCAGGTTTAGATTGGATTTTAGGAAACATTTCTTCACAAAATGGGTTGTCAAGATCTGGAAGAGGCTGCCCAGGGCAGTGGTGGAGACACCATCTGAGAAGGAATTTAAAAGACATGTAGTTGAAGCACTTAGGGACACTGTTTAGTGGTGGATGTGGTAGTGCTGGGTTAATAACTGGACTTTATAATCTTAGGGTCTTTTCCAAACGAAATGATTCTATGATTCTATGTATATAGGAAGGCCATTTAATATACAAAAGGATTTTCTGTAAAAATACCCCAGAGCTCATATTACAGCAATTTTACAAAGTTTCAGGGGAAGCAGTTCAGAGATTGCATCAAGCTTTGGGGTAGCTGTGTGCCAAAATCTGTCCTCTATGTCTAAAGTACCTTATTTTCTTGACTTTTTGTAGACACTGTTGATCCTGCAAGGCCGATTAACTTTGAGCTACATAGCTAGTGGTGTAGTAGTCATGTAGACACTCTGAAATGGATGACTGTAATGAAATGTTCGAATTGCTTTGCCATTCTGCTGAAACAATTCTGTATGCAATTTGTTTAGTTGCAAACAAATCTCTAGGCAAGCTGCATAAACAGACTTGCCCCTCTAAAAAGAGAAAGGTTATCAGGACATTAATTGGTAGCTAAACTTCAGATATCTGAGGGGATAAAAAACTGTAAGCAAAATAAAAAGAACAAAACCTAAGAAGAGAAAGGAAACAGGTTTGGTAATTACAATCTCCATTTATGCTAATGAATTAAACATGCCCCTTACATGGGGGTCCAACGGCAATCTAAAACTTATGTCCATTAATTAAAGAATGGAAAATCTTATGGTGATCAGGACACTGAGAGAGGAATTACCTATTGTACTGGTTTTGGTGAGGATAAATTTCTTTATACAGCTGGTGCAGGGCTGTGTGTTGGATTTGTTCTGGAAAGTGTTGGTAACACAGGGATGGTTTTGCTACTGCTGAGCAGTGCCCACACAGAGCCAAGGCCTTTTCTGCTCCTCACCCCACCCCACCAGTGAGGGGGCTGGGGGTGCACAAGGAGCTGGGAGGGGACACAGCCAGACAGCTGACCCTGACTGACCCAAAGGATATCCCAAACCATATGGTGTCATGTAAAGCTGGGGAGGAAGAAGGAAGGAGAGGACGTTTGGAGTGATGGGGTTTGTCTTCCCAAGCCACTGTTTTGTGGGATGGAGCCCTGCTGTCCTGGGGATGATTGCCTGCTGATGGGAAGTAGAGAATGAATTCCTGGCTTTACTTTTCTTGTACAAGTACCTCTTGCTTCTCCTATTAAACTGTCTTTGTCTATGGGTTTTCTCACTTTTTCAGTTTCCCATCCCACCTGGGAGGAGTGACTGAGCAGCTCTGGTGTGGGGCTTAGTTCCATCTGGCACTAGACCATGACACCTATTTGCTGACGGCAAGCTTGTAAAAAATGTTTATTAATTTAAATATCTTACCTGTCATGTAACATTTGATATCCTGAGAATTGCTAATGGGGTTGTTGTTTTTGAACATATACAGGTTGAAAGGCATTATGTTATTGCTACTCAGATGCTTCCACATATCATGGTCCGGACTTGTCCAGCGACCTGCTAGCACATCGTAGTCTCTCCGCCCCATGTGGATGAGCTTCGTGAGGGGGTCATACAGTCCTCCATGGTAGCCGATGATGATCTGGAAGTTGGGATTAGTGTCCATATAGATCTCCCCATATGCTGTGTACAGTATCTGCTTGATCATTAAGCCAGTCCCACTGAAGACAGCCAAAGGAGTGCCAATGTTATCGCAGGCTATGTAGAATTCATCGCCGCTGCTGAGCTCCATTGCAAAGAGGTGGCCCTGGAGGTCATAGTACAGAGAGGTGATCTCAGAGCTCGAGTGGTTGTACAAGTGGGTCACTTTTGTTGGGTTGGTCAGATCTGCATAGAAGAACTGCAAGTGGTGGCCATGGCTGGTTTTGCTGGAGACTCTCCTTCCTAGGCCATCATAGCGGTACTTCACACTCCACCCACTTGCTTTATTGTAGGCTTTGATGAGCAGGCCAGCTGAATTGTACTCAAAAATATCATTGCCCCTTTGCTTCAGGAAGCCATCTTCATCCATTTTGTACTGCACATCCCCCAGTCTAGTAATCCTATCCCTGAGGTCATACCTGAGTGGTGTAAGGCGGGCACTATTCCCTGGACTCAACAGATGGAGGTTTCCATTTAGGTCATAGCTGTAACGCCAGAGAGGTTTGTCATTGATAGACACAGTCTGCAACTGGCCATCAGCATCATATTCATATGAGTAACGAGTTGTGTTTGCGTAAGGGCCAACCTTCAGCTCCTTCTTAACCACTCTACCCATGTTGTCGTACTGCACAGTCATCCAGTACATGAGAGACCGGAATATCTCATACTGGACCTCCTTCATCCTGCCATAGGCATCAAAATGTTTAGTGTGGGTCATGACAGCAGTGGTGATAATCTGGTTGATATCATAGTAGATGACCCCGAATTTACCGAATTGCTCAGTTTTGCCTGACACGTCATCGTACCTGTAGAGATCGATAGGCAAAGGTGTCTCGTTGATGACCGCTTGCATGCTGGTCACGCGGAAGCTGTTGTCATAGTTGTAGTCAAAGCGTGCATTCACCATGCCCTCCTCAGTGAAGCGGAAAATCTGTCGGTCAATGAGGGGCCCTATCTGTCTGTACCTGATTGTGCAGGTGAACCCTTCATTCTGCAGGTTTATGGTCTTCAGCATGCCCGCAGTTTCGTCGTATGTGAAACTGATCTTTGTGGTGTCGTAGAGCATCTCGGCTAACTTGGACAGCTTCCCATACTTGTAGATGACGCGTCTCCCAGTGCCCAAGTACAAAGTGTGGAGGAGCTGCTCATCTTCTGTGAAGTCCTGAATTACTGAGGCATTGCCTTCTGGTGGCCGGTAGATGTTCCTGTAGTAACCAATGGAACGAATGGTTTCCAAAGTCTGACGGGCAACGTTGGGCATGGTCACCGAGGACAACCGGTCATTCTTGTCAAACTCAAAGATGTACTGTCTCTGGCTGTGAAGGAGCAGCACCATGGACTGGATGGAAAGAAGAAAAGTATAGATTATATCCCTGTTTTTCCAGCAAAATTACACTCTCACAGGACTTGTAAGATTCCTCATTCCAAAGAGCAGGGCAAGTAGGAATAATCTCTGTGAACCATAGAATTCAACAGTGAAAGGTAAGAAGCTGTGCACGGCACATCAAGTATCCTCAAACAGGAGTGGTCAGTGGAAGAAGCAGTTAATGCAGAGAGGAAGGTCCAAGTTCAGAATGCTCAGTTTTTTAAATCACTGCCCTATAACTGTCTTACCAAAGTGCCAATAGCCTTTGAAAGCTAACTAAATAAGATTGGTACTTAAACAAAGCTTGAAAAAGTATCCCCCAACACCTTCCAATGATGAGTTAATTCATTGTGTCAACGCATCTTTTATTATCCTCTTCCTCCAAAATTCTGCCTGCATACTTATTTGTTCCAGGATTTTTTTTTGCATATAACAAACAATCCACATAGATTGTATAACACAAGGAGTAAGTCAATACTTTTTCCTTTTTAAAAAGATAGGGCACAGCTACAGTTTCCTTAAACTGTTTTAGGGAAACAAAAACATTCAAAAAACCTGGAATAAAAAATTCCAGTCCCACATATTTAATACATGGATCAGTGATCAGTAATTGAGCAGTGTAATGCTGAATGGTAATACCTAGCAAACATAAGTTCTATGCTAACCTACAGAGTGAAGGCCCTGGGAGACACTGTGAAGTGTGCTACAAGTATGGCTGAACTAATGTCTTACTTATTAATTATTATGTATTTTTGTAAGTAGGAATGGACCACTTGAAGAAGGCAGGATGTCAGACTCTATAGGTTATTGTTTTTCCAATGTTTTCATATGGAAAATCCGGCTGAAAATTCCTACTGCTCACTCTGTTGACTTTATCTGAGCATATTTTATATTGCAATCAATGAAATAAAGCAAGACTGTGCTTAAAAAATCACGTGTCAAAGCTTCACTGTTCACATGCTCTCAGCATGACTGGGAAAAAAACATCTCTGACAATTTTCAACTGCTCTGTGGTGGTCTGGCATGAAAGTGACTTCGTGCACCGTAGCAGGACAGAAGAGGAGGACCGGACCGTAAGGACCAGCAATTAGCTGAGATGAAGGAGTGCAGCTGTACTGATGTCAAAGGAGAAAACCCACGTGCCTCAAATGCACCATCTCTGAGCGGTAAGACCATTCTTACCTTCTCCAAGTAGGTGTAGCTCCATGATTTACCATCAGCAAAGATTCTGGATGTAATTCTGCCAGACTGATCGTACTCCATCCTTTCTGACATTGTGCCCCTCTGAATCCCTGCAATGTGTCCTCCTGGGGAATAGGTGACATTGACCCCATTCAGTCTGCTGCTGGGTGACCAGAGACTGGGCCTCCCTGCCTGGTCGTAGAGGATGCGGAGCGTGAACTTGCGGTGGTCATCATAGATTTTCTCAGTCCTTGTCACACGATCAAAGTCAAGGGACAGCAGGTTTCTGTTGTGAACCTACAAGAAAAAGAGGGAGAATCAGGAAGCTGGAAACAGCGTAAGTTAGAACGACTAGCCTTGTTTCACCAAGTACCTCTTTACACCACACTGCAGAGTATCCAGCTGTTGATTGCTACTGGATAAGACACAATTTTTAAAGCAAAGAGTTATCCTAACATTGTTTTTATTGACTTCAGTGAGGAGAGAGGCAGAAGTATGGTACTTTTGAAACGCCACAGTGAAGGAATATTGCTCATATCTCAAATCTAGATTTAGGACTGCTACAGCAGATGTGACCTACAGAACACAGAATGACAACTTATTGCAAGGAATATTTCCAAGATATTCTACTTATCAAACCTTGAAGACTGAGTCTTTTGCTTTCATGCATATCAGAAAACACTTGTAGAAAAGAGATGGATGTTGTGCCACCATAGCAGAAATCAGTGGTTTGCTCTGTGTTTACTAAATATAATGCAGGCATTGGAGGTTAAGCATTTCTCCTGAGATGAAATGTGGAGGCTTTAACCACTGTAGATCTTACAAAGACCAGGAGCTGTCCTGTAAGAGCTGGACCTTTAACTTCACTGTCCTGGGGTTATTCAGAGTGGCATAATTATACTCTGATCTTTGGAAATACAGAGGCACTCAAGGTAAGCAAAGGTATCTACTTCAAAGGCAAGAGCAGGAATACATTTCTACTCAGGGATTGCAGTGAAAAGCAATACAAAAAGGAGCTGATAATACAACTCATGTTTAGTCATGTGTGCAAGGAGACTTACAAAACCACATCACCACAGGAGAAATGTACTGGTTTGAAAGCAAGGAGGAAAACCAGTATTCCCAGTAAGAGCTTGCAAGTGAAGACAGCTCTTTCTCCATCCCACCACTTCCAAACCTCTTTCAGCTAGGGAACATCTTTCTTCTGGAGGGGTATAGGTTCTTCTTGGATGAATCTCAGACTCCAAAAAGCTGACTTGGTTTTCAGTTCCCTTTGCAGCCGTTCAGCTACAGTCAGTAAACTAGAGTTTGCTGCTTGCTATGAAGTTTTCAGATTTAGTTAAAAACAGTGCCCTATCCTGCTCCGGGTAACACTGACACTCCTGACTGAAGTCTTCAAAAACATGCAAAATGTGGCACATGAGGACAATGGGGAATATGGTGGTGGTCCTTATTTTAGTTTGACATGTAGGACTTTATACGGTTGGACTTGCAAGAGAAAGGATGGGGTTGAATCAACAAAGAGGTTCCTCAGCCCTGAAGAATAGGAGAGGAAAAGGCTGAATCACTGCAGTGCCTTTGTCTTGCATGGGCAGACATCTATGAGGAAGCCTAGAGAACGGGGACACCAGAAAGACAGAATTCAGAAAAAGGTATCACAGGAGCTGGGGAGAGAAGGAATTGTTGCCATGATGTAAGTGTGAGGATGATGTAAGGCAAGTGCAACAACAACTTTCAATTTATGGATAACAAGGATAAAAAGTGCATATGACTTCAGGGAAGAAACTCTGTAGAAAGGTAGACAATGCTCTAATTAAATATGTGTGATATAGAGTGTAAATGTGCAATGGGAGAGAAGAAATCAGCCACTATAACAGGGAAGCTGGAAAATAATTAAAGAGGTATCAAAACTCTTAAGTACAGATGCACATGAGTAACTAAGAGGAATTTGGTATCTCCTAGGTGCTTGCTGCTATAGAGAGAGAAACATGAGAAGCAATTCCTTGCAAAAAAAAAGAAAAGCAAAGCAGGAAGTAATAGCATCTCTGCCTCTCATATATTCACAGAGCAGCTCCATCCTGGCAGCTGCAGCTTCTTTTGCTCCAGGTCTTTGCCAAGAAAGCTGGGAAGAGCTCTTCTAGGGCTGGAACAGTCATCCAGGCTGAATAAGGTCTTCCTGCGAAGTATGTTAGCAGCAGTGCCATTCACTGGGCTGGAAGGGCCAAACAGCAGGTCCCTCGATAGCTCTTTAAGCTCAGTCCAAATGTCCTCTGACTGGTGCCATAAATTGTTCCACCCTCCCTATGCTCTGGCAAGCAATGTCTGTGCAACTAGTTGGAACCAATATCGCTTTTCCTGTATTTTATTTTTTAATGATTTGTTTTCTTCCGCTCTCTTGATGTACTGTCTCTTTCATCTGTGAAGTGCTGCAGAGCAAACAGTAACCCCTCAAGGTGATAAGCAAAGTGAACCCTACCCTGCCAGCAGCCTCTGAAGAGGGTCTAAATCTTTTTCATACTTGTTCAAGGGCATGCCTTGTATAGAAGTGAATTTTCTGCAGAAGAACTGACAGGGCTGCAGGCTGCAGTCCAATAACTGTGTTTTATGGTGAGCAGCTAAATAAGGTGCCATCCTCCATCCCAGACCTTATTCTGGAATGGAGTCTGAAAACCTCCTGCAAAAAGGTTTTGCCCCTCAGAGTGTTTGACAAGGCTTGTGATCAGCACAGGATCAAGACAGGGTAAATTTAAATCCACAGTTCACAGTGGATTTGACATCTTTTAAAATGTGTGAGGCTAAATTTAACCCCCAACTCACGTTCCACAGTACTTTATTCAATCCCTTAGCTTCCTCTGCAGAAAAAAGAGCATAAACACACCACCATCTCTGATTTCTCCAATGCTTTCTTTGGCACTCCTTTAGCTTAAATGATAATTAAACAATGTTCATTGATCTCCCTGGGAACACTAGAGTACAAAAAGGGAGAGGATTTTCATGAAAACAGCCTGGCAACCTTCAGCAGAGGAGGGCACAAATGCTCCTGCAGTGAGGACTCCAGGTGCCAACAACATCCATGTGATGAATGGCTGCCTACAAAGGAACTTCCCCAGCAAACTGCTAAACCTGTTGGAGTGGCCATAGCCAGACCTCAATGTCCTGCAGAAATTGTGGAGATCATCCTGGAACATCTTTATTAGTTAGCATAATAGGAATGGTTAGCACCATATCCCCTTCTGGTCATGTTAGCTATGGGGATTTCTGGGATACTAGGTCTTGATGCCACCACTAACCTGCTGCCAAGGTCTTGGGAAAAAAAAGTGAATTATGACAGGAGTTACCACACCAGGTTAAATAAATAAATAAAAGAACTGAGCCAGCAGCTCTGTCTCTTTTTGTTGTCCTATTTGCTCTATTGCCAGAGATTATTTTACATCCTTCTTTATTGAAAAACTCAAGTTTGTTGAATAAAGAACAAAAAAAAAAAAAAAAAGAAAAAGAAAAAGGAGGAGTCCTGTTCCTTGAAGCAGGATTTACTTAATTCTCTTAATTCTCTCTCTGCAAATGAAGTCTATTGCTACTGTTGGCCAGGGACAGGTGGAATTCATAGCCAGCCAATCTGCAGAGATGTCTCACCACTGAGTGGGTGGATAGAGAATCACAACTTTTCATGGGGTGTGTGGGACAGAAAAAGTGAAAGGGGCTGTTGTAACATATTTGTGATGCTTTACAGCTGCCTGGCCAAGTACAGAGCCATGTCAGCACTGATGGAACAAGGAAAAAGCTATCAGGGTTGTCCCCTTTCCCTTCATCTGTGCAGAAGTCTCTGCTGTGTGCCTTATCCATGCAATAAGGAACTGTGTTTTGGGTTATTTCCTAGGGAGGCAGGTCTGGAAGCGGCCTCATCTTGCTGGGTGCTGGCTGAACTCATGGCAACAGGCTGCCAGTCCACAAGCACACCATAGGAGGAAGAGGCACAACCCATAACAAATGGATGCTTGTGATGACAGCAGAAAGGATCACTCTTTTACACTGTCCAGATCCTCACTTCCTGAAATGATGCTGGAGCCTCCTTGGGATGTTCTTTGCTCATGAAGCAACTATGCCATTGCTGCTGTCTCATGCGAGCAGTGGGGTGAGGGGAGAGCGAAAGTGGTAACTTAGTCACATATAGCAGAAAAGGGTAACATTTCCCAAAATCAACATCGCAAAAACATGTTGAATTTAACTTTCCTAAGTTTCTCTCCTGCCAGGGAAAGCAGCAATTATTGGTGTGAGGGAAGCGGGGAACATCACCCAGAGAGTATGTTAAGTGTTGTGCAACCCCCAGGGAGGCAATTAGCACCTTGCAGGTTGTTGTATAAGGGGTGCAGATGCTGCCATGCATGCACAGACACAGAGCTTAAAACATCTAGTACACCCACAACAACTGTGAACCCCTGAACACAGCCATAACTGAGTCCTTTGACCATGTAAGATGCACTTCTGATTCACCAGAAGGGTCCTGATAGGCTCAAAATGTGAATACATGTTGGCAGATTTATAGGGATACCAGCAACTAGCCTGAAAATTAATTTTGCACGTGTTTTTCCAACTGTAGTACAATATAAAACACAGACACATTCTGTGTTTGAATCTACTACAAAAATTTTGGGACAAAAAAACTGATATGGGCAGCTAAGCTGTGGTTAAATGAGTGGAAACTGTTTTGAACACCAAATAGCTGTGATCCAGCTGCAGATTTCAGAAGGCCCTCTCTTCTCAGAAAAAGACCTTTCTGAAAATTTCATCAGTTATTAAAATGAAACAAAATATAAAATAGAATAGAATAGAATAGAATAGAATAGAATAGAATAGAATAGAATAAAATAAAATAAAATAAAATAAAATAAAATAAAATAAAATAAACCCCTCAGGACAAACCCAACAAAAAAGCATGGTGACAACTGATCTGCAGATACACAGCAGTTCACACTGAAAGAGCAGCTTCAGCTTTCATTACTGTTTGCATTTTTTCTTCTGGTAACAAAATACGAGGCTATCAATGCATGGGAAACAGAACAGAGGCTGGGGTGGAGAGATTGAAGAGAAAGACTTGACAAGTGTGAGCGAGGAGAGACAGGAAAAGTCACACCAAAGTGGCAGGGGTCATGCAGCAGGGAATAGGGAGAGGTGAAGAGCAAGGACTGGGAAACACATATCCTGAAACCAGAGCATTGATATTTACTGCCAAGTTTAAGTGTGAATAAATAGCTGCAGTCCTTTTGCTGGGGTGGCATTACACAGCACTAAGCATTTTTCTCAGAGGGTCTGAATTTGCCAGGTGCTGAGCAGCTTCCCAGGAACCGTTCATCAGCCTGTGACTCTGAGACTAGCAAGGTACAGGGTGAGTGCACAGGACTTGCTATTACAAGTTCCCAGCTTTGCCAGCAGTTAGCAGATGAATTACAGCTTATTGGGCAAGATCTTTAAACAGCCCTGACAAGTATGAGGTGCATTGTGTGGAACAATGTTTTCAAAACACATCAGTCTCAAGCACAGAAAGGTCTAGGCACTCCTGGAGGGAGAGTACTGTCAGGCTGGAGCTGCTTGTAACACTTCAGGGAACAATACCAATTGTGGTCCAATGCCTTGTGAGCCCAGTTCTTCAACAGGTTCAACAGACTAGCAATTTCAGGAATCCAGAGCTTTTTTTGAGGTTTCCCAATGAACAGTATTCACAGAATCACTGAATGGCTTGGGTAGAAGGGGGCCTTAAAGATCTAATTCCAACCTCCCTGCCATGGGCACAGACACCTTCCATTAGACCAGGTTGCTCAGAGCCCCATCCAACCTGGCCTTGAACACTTTCAGGGATGGGGCAGCCACATCATCCTTGGGTGGTCTGTGCCAGTGCCTCATCACTGTCACAGAAAAGAATTTCTTCCTAATACCTAATCCAAACAATCTTTTTTTTTCAGTTTGAATTCATTCCCACTTGCCCAATAATGCTATGCCCTTGCCCTCAGCTCCTCTTCAGCTCTCTTGGAGCCCATTCAGGTAATGGAAGGTGATCTAAGGTCTCCCTGGAGCCTTCTCTTCTTCAGAGTAAAGAACCCCAGCTCTCTCAGCCTGTCCTGATATGCTTAGAAGGCTTTCAGTGCTCTGCTCTATGACTACAAGCAGCACAGGTAGAAAACACCTGCACTAACTGGTCTGGTATTTTATAGTTACAACTGTCCCTGGTTTGCTTGAACACCCTGAGATGATGGTTAAACCTGTGGTGTCTGATGGAAGGTCACACATTCCCAGGGATGCAGAGGACAGGTTGGGTGTCGGATCTCAAGATTTCAGTCCTGAGATGCTGAGCCTCCGAGACCACCTTGGGGGGCTCGGGACTCCTGGAATGTTGCCAGAAGTGTCTGGTGGCTGGACTTTGGTCCTGCACAGGAGACGACAAGGATGAGGGCTTCACCGGGTGAATGGTGAAGGGATTAGTTAATTAGAGGGTGAGACACAGGGTTTAGGATTTATGTACAGGGGGGTTTAGAGGAGTAAGATGGAGGAATTGGGGTGTGTCCTGCCCTCCTTCTTCTTCCTCCTCTCCTCCATCTTCTTTGGCCACGGTGGCACCTTTGGATTGGTTATTACTAAGAGTACACCAAGTTATAACAATAGATGGTATTGGGGAAAAATGATAAATATTGTATACGTAGCTAGGGGTATAAAGATACGTGGTGGTATGATAAATATTGTATACGTAGCTAGGGGTATAAAGATACGTGGCGGTCCGGGGGACGAGACAGTGTGCCCATGGCTGACTGCTGAGCGGATCTTTGTTCGGCTGAAAGAACATCTTTTAGATAAACAATTAATAAACATAAAACCAGAAAGAAGAACTGAAGCCTCTTCTCGTCCTTCGATACGCGGGCTGCCCCAAGGCCACCCCGGGCCTTCCAGGCCCCTCAAACAGCCGAGATAAACCGGACAGTTGGGAGATCAGCAGCACCACCTTTGATGGCTATTGGGAACATCAGCACATAAGGAGGCATAATGATATACTACAGTCATAAAGGTTAGGTCACTGAGGGTGAACAGACAATTCTCTGTCCTGCAGCTCCATCCCTCTTGCAGATAATACAAATCATACCCATCCCCTTCTGCCACGAGACTGGGCACTGATGAGATGGGACGTGGAGGCCAAAAGTGCTCGTGGTTCTCACTTACCCTCAGCCGACGTCCAAAGACGGTGACCTGCCCTCTCGCTTGCTCCTTCCTCTGCCTCCACTCCACGAGGTTGAGGCCGTTGTCGATGGGCAGGGTGACATTTCTCTTCCCCACCGTGGGGTTGACCGTGCCAGCCAGCAGATGTGGCTCGGTCTGCAAGGCCACCTCCATGCCATTGGCGAGCATCAGTCTGAGGGAGCCATCAGCACCGATGTAGTAGCTGTTTCGGACTTGGTCTGAAGACAGAAAAGAGTTCTTAGCTGAACTTTGGTGATACAGCTCCAGCTCTTCGTTTGCTCCCTCACCTAGGCTGCACGAGCATTTCGGATGGTTGTAACCAAACACACTCTGTTACTCACCTGTCCCACTCAATGGGAGCAAAACATCAACTCCAGCAGGGAAAGTAAACATGGACAATTGTTTTTTCATTCTGATGAGGTTTGGCACCTCATATTCTTGCAGAAAGCCTTGCACAGGTTAAAAAAGTGAAAAAACCGTGTAATCCTTACCAAAGGATGCAGGTTCAAACCTCTTCCTCTAGGCTAAAACACTGTGTGGTGAGGTATTTGTTTTAAATCAGTTTGACTGAAAACTTTCCATGCTTTTATATCCTAAAATCCTAATTTCACAACAGTATATGAGAAAGTGGGGCCACCTACTTTCCTCAGCTCAATCACTGTCTCACAAGTGACAGGAAATTGCACAGCAAGTTAATGCTAACCAGTTCCCCAAACAACAGCCAAATCCTTTCCCTTGAGAAAGCTTTCAGGAGGCAACTGAAGTCCTCATGTTTGGAGAGAAAGCAGAAGCATTACGCTCCCACACGTCTTTATACATCTGGCCTCCACTAGCTCATCAAAGATCAGATTTTGAGGCCAGTATTTGGGAATTCAGGAGTTGAACAGAAGAGCAATCTCTCTTCTACATCCTTCAGGAATCAGGCAGTCTGAAAGCTCATCCTTTGAATCTCCAGCTGGCATTTATCTCTGCAGAGAGTGGCTCATGAAGTGTAAGAAAGCATGAGACTTAGTGCAGAACGGCTTTAAAACATATTATACAAACACTGCCTTATCTGAAGCTCTTAAAAAGCTGGAAAATATTACCATTTCTGTCTCCCAGTCTGCCATAAACTCTTAATTGTGAATAAAAACACCCATTGAAAATTTCCATTAAGGGTTTTTCCTTTCTGAGGCAAGCTGGGTTTTGTTCACTAGTTGCTCTGCCATAGCTCAGCAGGAAACAAGATCACACTGAAATTACCATTTCTTTTACTCAAGAAATAGATCAGCAAAGAGCACAGTTTGGTACAGTTAGGGAAGAAAACATGACACCAACTGGTCCTTTTTTATGTGGATCTCATCCTGCTCCGGTGGTAGCCAGCTGGTGTTCTGCCACAGAGACCTCAGCAGAACCACTGCTCAAGTTTACACAGCAGTGATAACGAAACCACTGGGGTACAGGATTTTGCCCAAAAAACATACAGCAGTGATCCATAATGCAGATCCAAGTATTTTAGCTCTACCACTGAGTATGTCAGTTGACGGTCTTTGACACAGACTCCAGCCAGATCAAACCCCCTACATGCTTGAGTCTGCAAATGGAGAGAAGGGCCAGCAAGTTGGCTGCCACACCTTTCTTAGATGCGTGGTTTGATGGTAAAGTACAAGGAGATGGGCTTTAAATCAAATCAGTGAAAGAACAGTGAATACATTCCTCTCTCTTTTTTCCTTCACCAGCAAGCAGAGGAAGGCTTGAAGGTTTACATGAAATTAATCAGACACACGATGTTCTCTTTGTGTTACATAAGCACCACAGAAGGGTTATTGTAACCAGTGCACTGGTACAGTGTGGGGAATGTAAATCCTCTACTTTCAAAATTTTCCCAAGAGAAGACTCTTCCCTGGCTCTGGAAGGCATTTCTCAAGGGCTACATGAAATCCATGGGCCACTGAATGCTGTATTTTAGACTGCTCTGGCTCTAGGGCACTACTGCCCTACTTTGGCATTGAACAAATGCTCATTTTGTCACTAGTCCAGAAGACAAAATCCCACTGGAGTGTTGATGTGCCTGTTGTAGAAGCTCCTAAATCTATCCTACAGGAATTGCAATCTTCTGAAAATGCCTTCTCAGATCTCACCTGTTCACAGTGTGATCCAGATTTCCTGAAATGTTCACCAAGAATTTGGTTCACCAACCCACCTCTTCTGCAACATTATCCAAATCTTTGTTTTAAGTGAGTTTCTTCAGATGCAGTTTCATAATTCTATACTTCTGAAGATAGTTAAGCTGTTTGTAATTCTGCATGTCATAATGGCCGTAATGTCCCTGTGCCAGAGGGCAGGACAATGACAGAATTGACTGTGGCACCATTATGTAACTGTGCCCTCAGTGCTGAGTGTATAAATCACACCACAGTCAATTTTGTCACTAAAGGGCCCCCAACAGTGGGCTCCATTGCTTAATTAGGCTCTTGAGGTGAAGCCAACCTCATGTCTGTGCTGTTGCCACACATCTTAATGTGAGTGAGATGGGGTGGGGTAGGTTGCATCTGTCTAGCAGCAAAGAATAAGAAAGTCATTGTATTTCCCTACAGGAACATGGGGACAGTTTGAGGGGGCTGGAACCCTCTCAGCTGTTCTTTCCAGAAGGGTAAAAGCAGTGTTTCAGGCTTTCAGGTTTTTAGTTTTCAGGCTTTTCATAGCAGGTACCTTCTTGTAGGAAAGGCTGATGTTGTTTCAGGGAGGGGGAAAGAAATCGTATCCCAGAGATGTGGGAATAAATGTCATTCTGGAACATGCTTGCCCCACTTGGAGCAGTTTGTTCCTCACAAGGAGGAAAAATGTTTCACACCCCACTGTAATCAGTCACAGCCAGAGTGAATGAGATCTGGGGAGTAAGGAAAGCAGAGTCTGAAAGCTCCTTCCCTTTCCCCAAGCCCCAGAAAATAGGTGTGATAGCTCATCCTGATCCCAAAGAGGCTTCAGCTTTCAGACCCTGGAGATCCAGGCTGGCACTGTGCAGTACAGGTTCTGCCAGTACTAGCATGTCAGCACAGTGCTCCCCTGCTATTTATTCCTCTTTTATTTCCCACTTCATTCCCTTTTCCTCCACCTAATCAGTCCTCTGCTTCCCACCTTCCTACCACAGGCACAACCGTGCTCATTTCCCACAGCCATAAACTGTCCTACCCCACCAGTCCTACCCCACTTGTCCACTTCTCCTTTGTACCTCTCCACGCTACCTCTCAGTTCAAATACAGACCTTTTGGGCACAGGGATGGTAATTTTTCTGGATGCCTCCTTGTGAATGTTTGAAACACCAGTGAACAAAGAATCAGATCTCCAGCAACCAGCTGGAAGCCTGTTCCAGAAGGATAGCAATTGTTAAGTCAGAAGCCATTAAGACACTGAAGCAAAGGGGTTGGCTGGAAGTGTGGCTTGATTTATGCAACCCTTTTAGTTACTACAATAATGGTAATGATGATGGAGGACTGTGCTGCACGAGCCTGCATGGCAAGGGGACTGACTGAGAGTGGAGCACAAAAACAGCTGCAGAGCACCCACTGGGCTAGGGAATGAGGCTAAGTAGGTGTGAGTGTGTGTCTGTACCAGCATGTGGGGAGCTCTGGTGCACTGAGAATGCAGGTGATTTTTGGCACTGGGATTATCAAGACGACGCCTGTTTCCTGATCCGTTGTGTGCAGTCTGGTCAGGAAGGGAATGGGGGCCCAACCCACCTTGGAGCAGGGTGTAGAAGGCCCCTGATGCTGACAAATTGGTTGTTATTGTAACATCATCCTTGCTGGAGGTTTCCACCTGGACGTGCACAGAGCTGTCGGTGTCGCTGCGGAAGCTGCTCACTTGCCCAGTAGGGAAGGTCACGTTGGTCAGGCGGCCAAAGCTGTCGTATCTGAAAGAGAGAATGTAATGAAGTCAACAGCATCAACAGAGGATGAATTATCCTATAAAGTAGAGATCAATTCTTCAACTCATCATCCAGATTTTTCAGAGAGAAAAATGCACTGTCACTCTTTCAGACTGCCTTGATTTTTTTTGTCCTCATGAGAAGAAAATCACAGCTTTTAGCTGAAGAAATTGAAGTAAATAGAAAAATACTAAGTACATATTAGCTTGTACTTTAACAATATTTTTCCAACAATCCTCGCACCTGCACTATGCTTCTTGTTTAAAAGAGTAACTTTATTTCCCATCTCAAAAGCAGTGGCCTGTGCATCCTGTCTAGCAGAACTAGGAATTTCTAAAGCTCACCAATTGATTTGTCTGATTGTGTCCTGAGCTCAGTAATTTATTTTAATTTTTTTTCTCTATCTAATTTTAAAAAGCTGTATATTAAGGTAGCAGCAAGGACCAGATTGGCCACATCAGATAGAGAATTTCCTTTGTGAATGTGGTGTAGAGTCCTGAGCACAGATGAACCCCCGTGTCTACCTTTTACTGTTCCTAGGACCATATGGAAGGACTGATTTAAAAGTGTAAAAAAGCAGACCAGTTTTCACCCCTACTGTGTCCTTGGCCTTTCCAATGAGGAATCAACATAAGCACCATCTGGGAAGGTTTCTGTGATGTGGACACCTGTGTGCCAGGGCCCAGGTAAAATAAGCTTCATACACGCAGGCCCCACAGCAGTTAACAAGCTGGAGGAGTTATTTTTTGGTAAAAAGAAAAACAGACACATGTGTCTAGAGCCCTCCTGAGTTAAGGGAGCAAACACCTCATTATGCCTCCCATCTGTGGCATTACAAAAAGTTTCACAGACCCAAAAGGCTGGCAAGGGACCTTTGCAATGAGGTTATTGTAGCTGAAATGGAGAGCAATAGGGAGCTCTACTGGCTAATCTGTGGAGGGCTGTTGAACCTTGTGATGAGAGGGACCTTCAGGGAAGGGGTATTTAAATAGTTAGGGAGAAACAGAAAAATTCCAGGAAATCAATTAGGGATAAATGTTTGGTTTTTTCAAGTCCCGCCCACAACTCTTTTAAGAATGATTTATATGAAACTAAGTAGAATGTATTATGAAAATTTATCACTTGGGGATGCAAAGTAAATGGTGGGCACCCTAACAATGGGTGTTCTGAAGAGGATTATAATAAATTGCTTATTGTGTCTACTGAGGATGTGACAGAAAGTAAATGGAAACAATGAAAATTCAGATTAGAAGCTGCAGAACATTTTCAAGGCCCATGGTTGCTCCAAGCAGAGGAACAGATGGAGCACTGGAAACCCCACTGTCCAACTCTTTTAAGAATAAGTTAGAGAAATGTCTTAGAGGGGATCTGGATACAGACAATCAGAACTTGGAGGGAGCAGATGGTTGAGGAGCTCTTGATGCTTTTTTTGGGACTACTCTGAACTAGGGAATAAGAAAATACACCCCATCTAATAACAAAACCCAGAAAACAAAAAAAAAAAAAAATCCAAATAGAAGAGGGGAGTGGAGGCAAGGGGAGGTGTGGGGGGAAGGCGGGGCAGGGCAGGGTAGGGCAAGGCAATGACAAAGTACTCTTGAGCTGTAGTTGATGAGAGACCCATCAGCAGTCACTGGACTGGCTCTGCACTATACAGAAAAAAATTTGTCTCCTCTTCCACTCTCATTTTGCCAGATTCAAACACAGTGCTGGTTCGAATCACGCTTCACTTTTGAAATATGGTGGAGTGATTTAATGTGAGGAAGGGCTGGTTGAAAGATTTTTGCCCAAGTTGGGTTACAGTGACTAAGTGGGTGACCTCATTGCAAATCTCTGCATCCCTCAGGTTTGGAGAGATCATCACATGAGGCTTTTCTTGCTCACTGAGCAAAAGGGGAGGCAAAAGGATAGAAGAAAGTATTTGCCCTCCACAGTCAGCCTCTCAGTCATGGATTATCCAAGCCTTGCCCTTCCTCTCAGATGTCCTGGCAATCAATCAGCCACTTGTAAAATGGAAAAGAAAGAAGAAGAAAAACCCCCAAACAAGAAAAGGTTGAAAACAGGACTGCATTGCAGGAGTTTGGCAGAGATCAGTTAAAGCTTTTCCAAGCAGCTAACAGCACACAGCCTGGATCTGAGCTGCATCTCCATGCAAGAGCCAGAACTAAAGTGCTCCCAGTACCAAACAATTTACTCCAGATTTGTGGCTGCCCTGTTTGCACTGAGACAAATGTGTTTTGCTTGTACTGTCTCCAGTCACCTGCACATCTCCTCCTAAACCAGCATGTGAATCTTAAACAGAAAACATCACAGGCAGTGTCTTTACCCCATCTGCTGATACAAGACACAAGGGATATGACTTAGTGTTTCCTCTGAGCAGAGAAAACATTGTTATCACTGAAGGTGTGTTGTGTAACATCCCACATTCCTTCTACCACAACGTCAATAGTCCTAGATATACAAATCAGTCTGAACTGTAAGGGTAGAATCAAGTTTGAAAACGTTCTGAAATTGCAGTAAGATGAATCTGAATTTGGCATCTCTGACTTGGTGGATTAGTAGGTGTGAGGGATTTATTTCTATTGCCTCATTTAGATTTTAAAAATAAGCTGCTCCTAAAAGTAAGCCTGATTCACCTCCTGAAAATAATGTCACAAATCTAGATGTGTTGCACTGAAGTCCAATGGGTGACTTTGGTGCAACAGGTGTATAAAAGGAGGCAGGTTTGCAGGTTAGGGAAATAAGGAGTGCAAAAGCCAGGATGCAGGCAGAGAGCTTGTTCAAGTGGTAAGAGCTGAGTCAATGTCCTGTGAGTCACAGCTTTTTATCTTAATTGAATGGCACTCAAAAAATGCTGAGAGTGAGCACAAAACCTTTACTCCATGCAAGTCCTACTTATGTGCTCCCAAGAAAGCCGCAAAACCCTGTGGATACCCAGTTTAACAGCCCCCAGCAGCAGCAGACAGCCAACTCTTTATATTCACCAAATCACAGAAATACAAATTGGTTTGGGGTGAAAGGGACCTTACAGATCACCTTGTTTCACCTGCCTCACCATGGGCCAGGACACCTTCCACAAGATCACACTGCTCTGAGCCCCATCCAGCCTGGCCTTGAACACATCCAGAGCTGGGGCAGCCAGATCTCCTCTGGGCAACCTGTGCCAGTGCCTCACCACACTCACAGTAAAGAACTTCTTCCTATCATCTACTCTAAAACCCACCCTCATTCAGTTTAAAGCCATTCCCCCTAGTCTTAATGCAGGATGCTCTTATTAAAAGGCAAGCAGTGCCTTTTTACATAATATTATGCAGTGCAAAAGAAATATTATTTTACATAGTATTTCTGTAGTGCCTTTTTAGCAATATTTTTATAATATTCCTGGACCTCAAGCTTCTAGCACCCTCACAAATGGTCCTCCACCTCTGCTGGGCAAATAAATCATATTTGCAAATATGCAACTGGAGAAACCTGCCAGTAACCTTTCCTTGTGCAAATTAGGCTAAAATAGCAAGAAAAAAAAGAATGAAAAAGCGTGATGGCACTTAGACCTCTGTGCACACATTCTTCTTGTGAAGTCAAAATGACTAAGTACAATGCACTTAATTTACATTGATACATTTTTACAGGTGTACAAAACTCACAATACTTCACCAAAAGCAAGGGCTTCCATTTGGGACTTTGGATCCTGAGAAGCAAGGCTCCTTTTGGACCAGAATAGTCTGGAATGGTCTGCTGGCACTTAAGATGTCTGCAGAAGGAACTAGGATCATCTGTGTTTTCTGCATGTGCAGGAGGTGCTGCACCTCTTTGCCCAACAGATGGACAGGAACCTGCCAAGCATGGGCTTGGGGGGGACAGCTTACTGATCGGCAGCTGCAAGGAGATCCTGCCTTACAAAGGAAGAAGAATAAGAAGGTAGAACAATTAGACCGTGCCCATTTTTATTATTATTTTTAACTGGTGACAGATGAAGTGTAAAATGCTCACATCCAGACTAAGGCTCCTTTTAGCACTGTGGTGGCAACGCAAATGGAGGTGTGGGAAGCCCATTAGCATGAGCACACAGAGTGTTTTCTTCTTGGCAAGCAGTTCTTCTTCTCTTTTCTGATTTTACTCAGAACTGGAGCATTTTCCCCCTTTTCCCTGATTTAGCTCACACAACACATACCTGTTACATACCCACAGTCTCCCAGGAGTGTGCAGACTTTCACATCCCAGAGATAATATGCTTGACAAGTTAAATGTGCTGGTTCCTTCCACCTCTGCTTTCAGCCCTATAAAGGCCCTTACAGGGCACACCTCAGCTTGGAGAGGAAAAAGCCAAGCAACTGGCTCTTATGTAGCTTCAGATGTGCCCTGGTATTTGCAGTAACATAAATCTCTCCTAGTCACCTCATTTTGCAGCTAAGCTGCCTAGCCTGTTTCCACAGCATCAGGACTTAGGGTTGGGCCAGTTTTCATCACAGCCTAAGACTTCTGTGCTCTCCAAATGCTCTGAAAGCCCCAGAATTAAGGAAATACTGAAGCATGGGAGTGCACAGAGCAGCCACTTGGAGCAATGAATCCATCACCTGCTAACACAGCTGCTGCCTCCCATTCAAACCTGCTGCAAAGCCTCAGCACTTACAATTACAGTGGCAATTATTAGGCCAGCAAAGGAATCCGTTACCATCCATTCCCAATTGGAAAAGTACTTAGCTAAGGTTCAATGCACAGAATTAAAATGGCATTTGGTGCTTATGAGGTCTAATTGTTGGCTTGTAAACATTCAGAGCTTTCATTTATCACATTACCATTGTGTAGAGACCTGGACCTTGGGAATTAAAGAGCATCCTTAGTACCATCTATTCAGAAATCAATTTCTTGCCTGTTTCTGCATTTCCTCATTTTAGCCTCTTCACATTTCATCAGCCTTTTAAAACACAAGTCAAATAGATCAGGAAAAAACTCTCTATAATATTGCATTGAGTGCCAAAGTGTCT